CATAGGGCACCCAGCAACAAACACACTGGTGTGGCTTCTTTTTTCAGTCTATTGAAGGAAAGCTGCTATGCATGTTCTGATAGTGTTTCAAATGCTTGGTGTGGGAGTTCAGCATTTCTGCCTTCACTGTGTTTACACCTTTGTTCATTTAGTTCCTTACATCTCCATGTGCTTTCAAAGTCCAGGGAACCAGCGTAGTGAATGCAGACACACCTTGGGTCTGTGCTATCTCCCAGGCTCTTCATCTGTCTCAGGGCTTGGTGAAATCTGTATGTAAAAGCTGACAACGAATGGTTTGGGTTGCTTTTGTTCCTCCATAGTTTATTTATATCCAGGAGAAAAACTTCAGTATGCTAAAACCTAACTTCCATCTGGAGTTAACTGGTAAGTGGGTCTTCCCTCTTGGCATGCAGGGAAATCTCTGAGCTTCAGGGGCTGAGCACCAGCAGCTTTCCAGCCTCGCAGCTTCAGTTTGATGGCCCACAGGTCCTTCACCAGGGACCAGCCAAGGCTGCACCACTACAAAATTTCCGAACACCAAAGGGCTCTGTCTCAGGGAATGCATTTGAATCTACAAAATGTGGATTGGTTTGTTTTGTACCACCTTCTCTGTTCTCCCATATGTGAGTATCCATGTGTGAGTGGCCACACTGCCATCCACCACACTGATGACTTACAAAAGGTTTGCAGAATTTTCATGGGAATTACACTTATATGAGAGTCCAGAGGAGGCCATGGAGATGCTTTGAGGGCTGGAGCACCTCTGCTATGGAGACAGGCTGGGAGAGCTGGGGGTTGTTCAATCTGGAGAAGAGAAGGCTCCAGGGAGACCTGAGAGCCCCTTCCAGTGCCTAAAGGAACTCCTAAAGAGCTGGAGAGGGACTTGGGACAAGGGGGAATGGCTTCCCACTGCCAGAGGGCAGGGTTAGATGGGATATTGGGAAAGAATTCTTCCCTGTGAGGGTGGTGAGGCCCTGGCACAGGTTGCCCAGAGAAGCTGTGGCTGCCCCTGGATCCCTGGAAGTGTCCAAGGCCAGGTTGGACAGGGCTTGGAGCAACCTGGGCTAGTGGAAGGTGTCCCTGCCCATGGCAAGGGGGTGGGAATGAGATGATCTTGAAGGTCCCTTCCATTCCAAACTGTTCTGTGTTTTTACATATTACATATGGTTCTGTGCTTCGTGCTTCCAGTGCTTCAAATAAGGGCTTTAGCCCAAGGCTTTGTGATGGCTGAATCCAAATCCTGACTGTTCTTCACCATATTCTGCAAGACTGTGGCTGAATGTGATGATGCTGAGGCTGAAGTTCTGTCCTCCTGGGCATCAGTTCAGGGTCGTTTTGAGGTGGCTCTTCTGTCAAATGATGGTAACTGCAAAGCATCCCCTCTCTCCCTGTCTGTCCAGACTATGTGGCAGAAGTGTTTCTTACCTTGGGAAGGAATTGCCTTTTTGTGTGTAAACTGGAGAAAGACAGAACATGCGCCCCAGCCAGTCTAAAAGTTGTCTTTGCTTTTACCTGGAGTTTCAATTGCAGAAACTCTCTTCCATCTGATATTCACTAAGGACTTCTTATTGAAACAGCACAAGGCTGGGGATGCAGATGACAGGAGCAAACAGCACACAGGTTTGCTCACCAGTGGCAGGGCTGGGATGTAGAGCTGAACTTGGTCTTTATAAAACATCAGACCAGTTTTTTTCATTTTAATTTAAGTCTTGGTACTCCAGATGCAGCGGGGCCAGATCCTGTGCTGGCCTTTCCTGCTGGCTTCTCATTCACATTCCAAAGGGGTCTCCAGGGGGTGGGAAGGTTTCCCACTCAAGCATACTCTTAAGTCCTTGGCTCCCTTGAAAGGGCTTCGTGCTCTGTGAAATGCCCACTCCTCGTGTGATATGGACCACTGGAGCAGGGCAAGGGAAGCTCATTTCACCAGGGGCACCTTCACTGCCCTGCAAGTGAAAGGTCATGCTGCTCAGACTTCAATTTGAGCTGCTGCAGAACGGCCACTAATCCAATAAGCCACTGAGGCACTGTAGGAGACAGCCTTAATTCAGGCATTTGCATGGGTGAGTGGGAGGCAGCAAGCCTGAGAGCTCCCAGGGACACCCTGCGCTGCACGGACCAACCTGGTCTGTGTCTTGCTTAATAAAGTGTTGAGAAGATCAAGCTCTCAGGAACCTGCTGCCCCAGCCTTCACACATGGAATATGCTGTGTGAAAAATAAACAACTTTAAAGGTTTACAGTGGGCATCGGCTGTTCTGGCTCGATCTGTGTTGGGAATCGGATCACACGGCAGCCTTCAGCAGTGGAGCAGCAGGTCTGTCTGTGGAGCTTTGAATATTTCATATATATATATATGTACACACACATTCATAACAACATGCAGCTAAATTATATTTCTTTTTTCAGAGATACATACGAGCTGCCTCATCTCTATTCTGTGCCCATCTGTGTTCTTCAAGGCTGGTAGCCTTGAAGATTCACCCAATATTGGTATTATTCTCCAGGTAACTATTGGGATATTAAAGATTAAACACTTTTGCCAGACTAATGAGGCACAAAACATGGATCTAGTTTAAATAAAGAACTTGTGTGATTGCAAATGAAATAACTGAAAAAAGAAGACACCTCATGTGCCCTCCTTAAAACAATCCCTGGTGTTGCCCTGGTAGTTTGTGCTGTTTGAGGTGTCCAGGTGCCTTCTGCCTTGTGTGGATCCAAGTCCCTTGTCCTCAATCGGGTTATGGTGGTCACTTGGTGTGTCAGCATGGGCTGGGCCAGCATCGCCTGTGATGAGTTTTTCCATGTGTAGCTGACAACTCTGCTGTAGCTGCTCTAACTTTCCCTGCTGTTGTGGGGCAATTAAAATTATGAAGGTTAGCGGCAGCTTCAAATTCCTTTTCTAGCTTTTCTGCTTCCATCCAGGTGCAGCAGCCCTGGGCCAGCTTGGGTATTGGGCCACTGGTTGCTGTCTAAGGAGCCTTTTCTTGGAGGCAGGTGATGGGGCTGCCACGATGGAAAGCCTGAGGAACAACCAAAGCTTGTGGTCACAGGTGAGTACGAGTGGCTGTGAGTGTCACAGAGGAGTTCTTGCCTCTGGCTCCTGTGTGTGCTGTGCAGGGGCTCCTTGGGTGGCTGATGCATATGGAAACACTGGGCTTGACCCATGCCGTGGGTGCCTCTCCTGTGGCTGACTGAGCAGCACCCAATAGCATAAGATGGTATAGGATGGGCTTCTCCCACCTAAAGAGCTGCCAGGAAATCAGGTACTGGGGGTGATTAGGAATATATGGAATATTTTCATATCTAAGCTAAATACTGTAATCTTAAGGGTGCCCAAATTCTGTTTGTAACATTCCAGAGTAGGCATCTCAGTGAGCTCAACTTGTAGGGTTCAGGATGGTGGCTCTGATGGTCTTGGGCACCTGTGAAAACAGCTTTCAGTTGTGGCAAGGTGCTGTGGGACCGCCGTGACAGGGATGCCTGGGGTCTCTGATGTTGGTGACATCAGCAAAACTGAGAGCAGTTTGGATTTTTTTTTTTTTTTTGACTTGCAGATTTAGAAGACCAGAAGTGTGAAGTCCGGTAGATAGGTGGGTGTTAGTGCTGGAGGTTTTGTAAGGACTTACTTTGATCACTGTCTTAAAACTTCTTTATGTTTTCTGTGCCTCTTGGGCCTGAAAGCATGGGCTGAAAAACCCCAGTGATGAACTCCAGAGATTAAAGATGCTACTTGATTTTGGCTGAGGGTGCCGGGGGAGCAAGTGCCTCAGTCCCTGCAGCAGTGGGAGCAGCTGGGCCCGACACCCTGTTCCGATGCTGTTATTCGAGTGGAGAATTTGGAAAGCTCAGCGTTCTGAGCTGTGGTTATGTTCTCACTTAATAAGGTGTTAACTGACGTTGGGCGCTCTGTGGAGACTTCGGCTATGCGTGGAGGTTAACGGTTCCTGGCATCTTGTCTGCTATAAACGAGCTTTCAGACACGGGGAAAGAGTTACCACACGCTCTCAGTGTGTGAGTTTTTTTCTTAACATAAAAAAAAAAACAACAACAAAAAAAAAAAAACAAACGAAACCCATCAAATCCCCAAACGCGAGGCGGGGGAAGCGCTCGGCGGGCCGGGCGGTGGGCGGGGCGGGCGGAGCGGCGCTGGAGGCAGGCGAGCCGTGCGGGCGGGGGCCCGGCCGAGCCCGGCACTGCCTGACCGGTGTCCGCGTCCCGCCGCGGGAGCGGAGCCGGGCCATGCACCGCGCGGGTGTCCGGCCGCGGGGGCCGCGCCGGGGCTGCCGGGGCCCGCTGCCGGCCGGCCGGGGCGGGACGCGCTCCGGCCGCCCTCGAGGTAAGGGCGGACCGGCCCCCGGAAGCGGAGACACGTGTTAGCGGAGCGGGGGCAGCCGGCAGCGGCCGCTGTGCTGGGGCGCTGCGGACCCCTCGCGTTCCGGGCGAGCAGCGGCGCCGCCCGCTCCGTCGGGCCGGGGAGGGCGCGGGGCAGCCCCGGAGCCCCCTCCCTTCCTCATTTTTTTAAAAAAAGGCTTCCCGGGCTGGCGCTACCCCCGGGCCGGGCGGTGCCCCCTCCGCGCAGGCGGTGCCAGCCCCGGGGGCCGCCCGGCGGATCCGCTCCCGCTTCCGCGCCCCCGCGATGCCGCCCGCCCGCAGCGCGGAGCGGGCGCGGGGCGCAGCCCGGAGCGGGGCGCGGCGGCGGCCGAGAGGCTCCATCCGCCCGGCGGGGCCGGCCCCGGCCCGGGGGGGGCGCGGGGGGGCACTTGCTGATGATCGGAAAGTTACTGACAATAAGCACCTTCATCCCCCCAAAGGCCGGAGAGAGAGAGAGGGAGAGAGGAGGAGGAGAGAGAGCAGGGGGGAGAGGAGAGCTGATGCCTGACGAGTCACTCGGCGGAGGCAGAGCGGGCGGTACCACAACTTCCCGGCGGCGCGGACGGCGGCCGGAGCTGCGCGGAGCGGCGCGGAGCTGCCGCGGCGGGGATCGAGCTCGCCGGCCGGGATCCGCTCCCATGTCAGCGCGGCGGCGGGGGACTGCGCTCCGCTAGCGACCAGCCGCCGGCCAACCCCCTCCTCGCCCAGCGATGTATTCACTGCTCTCCGCCTGCACTTGCCTGTAAGGATTATGACATATTTCTAAATATTTTTTTATTTTTATTTTTAAATTTTAAAAAATACTTTAAATTTTTTTTAAACTTTCGTTCTGGAGTCTCCGGTTGCATTTTCCTTGCAACCAGGTGGTAATTGGGACCCGAGCCTTTCTATAAGCAGAGCATCGCTCTGTGCCCTTTAAAAAATTGCAAACAAAAACAAAGCAAAAAAAAAAAAAGCGAACCCCCCCAACTTTAACCATTTTACCACATCATTTGATCTTTTGTTGCCTTTTTTTTTTCTCTTCTCCAGATGTTTACATTTCCTGCTGCTGTGCTTTCAGGTACAGGTACGTGTCCTTTCTGTCCTCTCTCGCTTTTGGTTGTAAAATAGAAACAAAGGCGGCGTGCTGACCTCGAGTGCCAGGCAGGTTTGGCTGGGGCTTTCACTTGTTTCCCTCTAGTTTTTATAGCCGTATTAAACCGAGCCCCACACCAGGTGCTGGAGTGTCACTTGCCCTGGACCGGGACTGCCCCTCGCCCTCAGCTCCCGTTCCGTGCCCGGTTGTGCTCTGCCGCCGGTGCGAGGCTGAGGAGCAGCCGGTGCGCCGGTAGCCTGCCGTAGCGGGATCCTCTGGAGTGCATTAGCCTGGCTAATGATGTGAGAGGGAGTGCTGGACTCTCCTTGCACAATGTTGATTGATGCACTTGCTTTGGAAGAGCAGGCGCTCTCCTGCTCGCTCTCTTTTTTATTTTTTTTCTTTCTTTTCTTTTCCTTCTTTTTTTTTTCCCCCTTTCCCTCTTTGAGAACTTGCTCCCAAAAACTGATACTTTGAAAAACACGAGTTTCCTTAGCCAGGAGAAGGAGGCTGTGTGCTCCCTCCCCATTATTCAGTAGAACGCCGTCCAAGTCAGCTCCAGCCTTTGATCCTGCCTCGGCAGGAATGAAGCCGTTGGAGGAACACCCTGAGCGGCGAAGCTCTGCAGCCCAGGCGCCCGCGGGATGGGGATGGGGATGGCAGCTGCCCCCCAGCAGCCCCATGGCCACACACCTCACTGCCTCAGGGATTTTAGCTGGGCATCCTGGAGCAGACCCAGCTGCGGGGCTGGGCAGAGCAGGTGCCGCTGCTCCAGTGGCTCCAGCCCACTATCCCCCCAGGACTGGGGGATGCCTGTGCCATCCCTTGGCCCCGTGTGATGTGTTGGCCAGGATTGCACCTGCTCACCCTCTCCAGATCCCCATCAGCAGCAAGGGATGGTCCTGGATGAGCACAGCCACAGCCTTGGAGGGGGCTCTGTCCCTCTGGCTAAGCTAAAACCCAGACTAGCCCCATCCCTGGTCCCCCACCCATCAAAAAAATCCCCAGTCACATTTTCTTCCTCATCCCCACCAAAAACTGAAGCATGAACCCAACGCCAGCAGAGCCTCCCCCGGTGGAGTAGCCTCCTCAGCAGGAGAGGATCCACAGCTGTAAATTACCCTGCAGTTGGAAGGTGTTTGCTCTATTTCTCTGGTGCATTTTTTTTCAAGCTCAAGGAATAACAGGCTGCACAGGGCTCACAGCGCCAGCACCCTTTGCAACGGGGAGACATTTTTTTGTGCTTGTGCGGTAACTGAAGTTAATCAGCCCTCCGACCCCCTCCCTTTCCCCCTCCCTTTGGTGCTTTTAGTGAATCAGAAAAAGTTTGGCTGGATGCCTGGAAAGCACTTGCTAAAATCTGATCTCTTACTTCAGCAGCCTTAAAACAAAGTTATTGGCATTTATACAGTTGGAGCTTGCAGGCTTCCAAAGCAATAAAATAATAAAAAAAAAAGGGGGGAAAAAAAGAAAGCTCTGCGCTCTGGTGCTATTAGAACCATACTTGCTCCATTTCGTGCTGATTTTGCAGCATTCTGTGGGATGTGAGGTGGGGATGGCTGCGCTGGGCACTCCAGGGGTGTCCTGGCTGTGGCTGGAGGGCAGCGGAGCTTGCTGGGTGTCACAGTGAGAGTGGAGCTCCTTCGGCGATCAGGGTTGGGAGCCAAAACATTAGATTAGTCATACTCGAGGGCCTTCGAGTGAGTGTTTACAGTATTAATGGTAGATGAAAAGATGTGAATGCTGTAAGTTTTTATTGCCCGTTTTGTTACACTTTCTTTCTGGATTTATTCACGGGATTACATGTTTTGAGCCTGAATGGGAGCGAGGGATTATAGGATTTCTTTTATAATGATCAGTTTGGGTAGGAGTTAGCCTTTGGTGAACTGGAGTAAATTAATGCATCACTTAGGTTTAATATTTATTTAGTCTAAAGGAAGTTGTTTAGTTTTGCTTAAAGGGCTCTGTGTTGTATTGGAGAGATTTAAGAGCTCCTGAAGTGGATTATATTCTAAGGCCACCTTTCGCCCTCCTGTTCAAGCCGTGATCTGCGGGTTGCCCTATGTGTTAGTCTTAGAATTATGCTCCTCTGCTGCTGCCTGTTACCCCGTGGCTTTGTGTGCAGAGGTAGAAATCTCTCCAGCGTGTGTGGGGCTGGAGGGCAAAACACCACGGCTTGGCTGTTCTGTGTCTTCTGTTAGTTCCTCGTGTACGAACCTGCGGTGCGTTGATGTGTGAGCTGCCTGCAGTTGGTGGTCAGTGGCTCACTGCTGGCTAAAAACTTTCTTGTAGACTCCAAGCCCACCTGCACAGCTGCCGGTGGGTGACCCGCTCAGGGACAGCATCACCTGTGGGCAGGTTGTGGCAGCACTGGAGGGGCTGTTCCCCAGGCTGGGCCACAGGGAGATTGGAGGGTCTGGAGCTTCCAGGAGCAGGATTTAGACTTCTGGATGAGTCAGACTCCAGGGCTTTTCTGTCGTGTGACATTTCCACCAAGAAACATGGGGATGAACACATGTTGGGTCAGAGGGGAGCACTGCTGGAGCGTAGGTACAGCACAGCCCCGGCAGCAGCCCAGTATCTCACAGAGCTGCCTGGAGGACAACTCATTAACTGATCCCTTCCCCTGCAACAGCAATAGCCCTGTCTTGTTTTCTTCTCTTTCATCTTAGGAAGTTCCTCTGCTGCTTGGGGTTGCTGCAGTTCCAAAGCAGAGATACTGGATACCCTTGGGGACCCTGGAGACATTAATTTATTTATGCAGGTTGTTCTTAGGGATGCCCTTTCATCGATGGTTACTGATCTCTCCCTCTTATCACATGTCTTTAGCATCCTTCAGTTTATTCTCCTGCTACCTTTTCATACTTTCAGGAGCAATTTCTCTTCCACGTGCTTTTTCCCTCTGTATTTCCCAGGGTGATTTTGGGTTTGGCTTTGGAGTCAGTCTCTGCTCTTCCAGCAGGTGAGAAATACCAGGAGCACCTTGCACGGTTGGAGGGGATCAGCCAAGCTGTGCTGACTCTGGCAGCACCATGACCCTTAGGACATTGGGCTTGGGGCCTCCTTTGCCGGGGCGGGTGGGGGCTGGAGGCAGCTTCAGTGTAGGCTGAGCAGTAGAATGCGAGGTTTTGAGTGCTGTCCTGGCTTGCAAGAGCTTCCAGCTCTTCTGTCCCTAAGCCACCTCCAGTGCACTGTCAGCCGGAGCACAGGGCGATGCCGCTGCAGGGGCTGCCCTGGCTGTGCTGTAGAGCAGAGGGTGGTCCTGCCTCAGCCTCTTCCCTGCCCTGATAAACCTCACTGTGTTCTTCTACGTGGAGCGCATCTGTCTTAGATTATGAGAGGTCCCTGATAGGGCCAAATCCTTTGCTTTTATGGCTCTTGTAGGTTAAGATCCAGCTTTGGAATCTGATCCAGAAGCAAACACGAGGTCAGAGGAATGCACAAGGCAGCACTGGGCTATTTTCACATCTGCTGGTGTTGTGTAAGAGGAAGGCTGCCGTGCACCATGCCAATAGCAACTTATGTTTCTCCTAAGCTCCTGTGCAGCGACAGACAGTTATTGTTTGGGGCTTTGTAGGGAGACACGGAGAAGTGTTGCTTCCACGCATTCAGCGAGCCAGATCCTGCGGTCTGGCGGAGCTGCGTGCGGCACATGTTGGAGGCGTGAGCCTGCTGAGCAACTCCCTCCCCTCTCCCTGTCTGCTGCTCCACAGCCGTCCTTCCCAGGACAAGGAGGACGAGTGGCGAGTGCTGCCACATGGCACTGGGGACAGTGTTGTGGAGAAGCAAGAGGTGGTCCTGATCACAGCCTGCCTGGCCTGCCTTGCCTGGCTGCCCCTTCTGCAGGTGTGCAGCAGTGCCACAGGTCCCTGCCCTGCCCTGCCCCTCCTGGTGACAGTGCTTGTCATGGCACTGAAGGAAGGTGCTGGACTGCACCATTCTCATGTCTACCTTCCCTGTGGATGGGAAGCCACCTGTCTTTGCCCACCATTGGGTGGCACAGTGTCTCTCCTGGCACAGCAGCCACGGCTGTGTGTACTGCCAGGGGTGGAGTTTGGGCATCACCACATTGCTCCCGAAGCCTGCACTGTGGGACAGGGCGAGTGGAACCTCGTGCTGCTCCCATCCTTGAGGTCCCCTGCATGCCAAGACTCAGCTGGACCCAGAGCCCTGGGGCTTCCAGGCTCAGTGATCTTTGTCTGACATCTCTGCTCAGCCTGGACCAGGACCACCAAGCCTCAGCACAGGATCCCCGTGCCAGCACCTGCCTCCTGCTCTGCGAGGGTGTAGAAGTCATGCTGAGAAGGACAGAATATGGCAAAGGTGGTCTGGGAAAGGCTAGACAGCTCTCTGTTGATTTTTCTGATTGCACTTGACAATTACTAGGCAATGAGAAGACCAGGGAAACTGCATGAGCAAAACCTGATTTAATTAGCAGAGGAGCTCAGCAATGTTGCAGTGCATGACCCCGTCATAGGCTGGAGTTGATGAGATGGTCCACAGCTCTGGCTCCATGCTGCTGCTGGACTTAAGACAGCAGATGAAGTGCCTGCCAGTGTGGCTCTGCTGGCCCACAAGCTGCAGAGACAGGGTCTGGTTGCATATTAAATCGTTTGTTCCAGTTTCAAACCCCCTTGCTCTCCAAGAAACAACTTTGCTGCTTGCCACAAGGGATTTTTGTTCCCTGCTGCTGACTCAATGCACCCTTCTATGAAGTTCTGTGTCCTGAAGCTGCCCCTCGTGTCCTGTTTCTGCCTCCTGATCTTTGAAGAGCTCAGGCTTGTGGAGGAAGAGGATGCATGTTGGAGCAGTTGCCTGGGCTGGAAGCCCTGCTGAGTGGCACTGGGCTGGTGCTTGTGCTGATGCACACTTGGGAGGAGTGGGAGAAGCGAGACTGAGATTAGCATGGAGCGAATGCAAACGTGGGTCTTGCTCCTACAGGGGTGAGAGTGTGCAGCCTGTGCCCCACCGCTGGCTTTGGTTGCCTGCCC